CAGTTATAGAATAATAATATATAAGATTATTTCTTAAAAAAATGATAGAGAAATACAATTTAAAAGGAAAAATAGAGAATTATAAACCACCTATTCAGTGTGGTATTGTGAGAGGTTGATAACTATATACTATCAAATCAGATATAAAATAGACTTATGTGTAATAAACTATATAAAATATTAGAATTTGGCAGGAAAATTTATGAAGAATGCAATCAAAAGGAAGAATATGTGTAATGAAAAAGAAGAATAGATGTGATGTAATGAACAGACATAAAATATATTCTTTCAGTGTGATATTGCAAAAGATGCTTTAATCAATGATAAGTCATAGGATGTTATTCTTTCCTGTAGCAACAAATAGCACCTGGTAATCAAATTTCAGAAACATTTGATAGGCCTGTAATTTTTAATATAAAACATGATGTTAAGAGTATTATTATGAAAACTGCAAATCTGGAAAATGAGTTATTAAACAAGAAGTGGGATGCAGTTTAGCATTTGAATCTGAAGATGAAAAAAGAGGATATTTGTAAAAAAAATTCTTGTTCAAGTTTTTTTTTTTTTTTTTTTTTTTTTAAAGAATGAATCGTAATAGCTATTATAGGAACATTTAAAAAATTTAAGGAGGAGGATTTTTTTAAAGATAATTTAGCTGAGTTGGCATTGAAGCATTAGCAAAACTTGTATTAAACTGAGATATACGTTCTCTATGACGGGTAAAAATATGTAACCGTATTTTATTTCTAATTAAGTGGAAAAGATTTCATTACATTACAATCATCATTACAATCGAGAAAAAAAAAGTTATGAACGTAAGCAAAAAATCAAAAACAGCAAAATGTTGATCTCAAGGATGAAAATACAAACAGAGTTTTCAGTTAAGGGTTCAGATGATTGTTTTCTTTATCAAAGATTTAATTGTAATATCAAATGGTTCACAATGGATTGGGTTTGAATAACAACAAAAATTTAAAAATCGGCACTACTATTGAGAAAAATCATCAAAATAAGGCTTTCATGTTACAAGTGCTGAGCTTTAAAGACTTTACTATTGATTGTTCCAGTTCTGAATCTACCAATGCATTTTTCTGTAAAGATAATCTGGTTATGTGGTCACTCATTTTTAAAGTTTTCCTGAAACTGATGAAAATGTAAAAAAAAAAGATATCAGTTGTTACTAAAAAATAAAACTGAATAAAATGTACAACCACAGTTTTGCAGAAAAACTGAAATTTACGAAAGACAGTCAACCTGTAAAATTTTTTTTACGCTCTTGAAACCTGTGTTAATTTCTTTGACCAAATGCAGAAAGATTGTTGCAGGTTTCAAATTTAACTAGAATTTCAAAGGAATAAAAATATGACTATGTTATACACAATTGAAAATAGCAACTTTAAAGTTGTTACAGAAGTGCTTTATTGTTCCATTTGTTATTTCACACATTTATGTTAAGATGCTGAAATAAAAATGTTAAAATTGAAAAAAGTTCAAATAAATATTTTGAAGTAGACTAGAGTGAATTTATTACTAAAATCCAAATTTATTACTAAAATCCTGAAAACCAGGGATAATGTGTAGTCAAATCATCATCAGATGTGTTAAATGTCTGTGTGATTCTATGGTATGTTAAGAGAGAAAATAACATAAAAATGAACAGTATGATATTTGATAATCTAGATATAATTTTTTATTGGTTAGCATTGAACTGGATTTTAATGATAAGAAATGAAACCAAATGTATTTGTTGCTTTTAGAAAGCAGGATTAAATATTATCAAAGTAGTAACAGGATGTCTGCTAAAATGTAAAGAGTTTGGAAGTGTGCATTCTATGTTTTTTTTTTTTTTTTTTTTCTTTTTCCATCTCTTATGTTGTAGAGCCCATTTAGTCTTAAATATGTTAATTTTCATTTTGAACTGAGAAGTACTCAGTTGACTCTTAGAATTTTTGCTGCATTTTGGAACAGAGAAACAATCTGTAATTTTGCTTAGTTTCAGAACAGAGAAGAACTGTAATTTAACTTCATTTTGGAACAGAGAATAATCTATAAAATTAATATGGTGTCTAAACGTTTTTGAGAAAATGAAAAACTTTTATTCTTCAATAAATAACAGGAAATTATCTCTTTAGTTTAGGGGGGAAAAAAACTCTCAAAATTATCCAACTGTCAAAACCTCAAGAATGAAAAAGCCATCACAAATGAAGAGTTTGTTTTGGAATATATAAATGGCAATAATTTAAACATTAAGGATACTATAGATGCAAGTGATAAAAGGATTACAAACATTAAAAATACATTTGAATGAAAAAACGTTGCCAGCTTTTATCTTCCTTCTGCTGTAAAATTAACAGAGGAAGGAAATTTTGGTGTGAAAAATGAAACTCTCAACTGATTGCAAAGATCCAGTAAATAACCAAAATGTTGCAACAAAACATTTCATTTATAAAACTTCTGTTCCATTTTATGCAACTAACTCTCTTGAATTTATTACTTTCCAACCACAACAAAATTGGCATTTTTATAGATTTATGGAATTTTCAAATAACAGTGTTTTAAGTTACAATTTAAAAGTTCTTATAGAAAGAGATAGTAAAAAAAAATTTCATTATTTATAGAATCTTATAAACCAGGTGCAGTAGAATATCGTATTTATTTCTTTCATATTTAGAATCACCCTTTTCACCCAGGCAAGAGAAATTTTCATTTTAGCAAAAGCTAAAATTGGTATGGAAATGAAATTGAAATAAATAAAAAAAAAATAAATTTTCAAACTTATTTAAAAATTGAATATTTAGAATGGAGGCATATTCTTCAAATCTGACATTAGTTCCTAGGTATAAAAAAATTATTAGAAATTACTATAGAATTTTGGAAAGAATTACAGCTTGGAATATGGTTTTCAAATATCAAATACTTTCAAAATCTTTCACAATCAAACACACTGATAAGTAAAAGATTGAAAGCAGATTTGTTTGAAGGAGTTGTAGATGTTATTTTCAAGAAAATGGTTTTAAGGTATTTTGATAATCTTTAATGTTTTTTATTAGAAAATTTGTCCTTGTCCTCTCATAAAATTTATTATTTGTGTTAATTGTTAGAAATTTATTATTTATTTTCCTTGATTTGAAAGTGAGGCAGTGAATGGTTAGGAAATCTTAGTCAGTAAAAGTTGTTAATTTAGACACATTTTTTAATTCTTTACTTTATTGATGCTTATTTAAAAAACTAGATTTTTTATAATTTCTTTAAATGTGTTTGTTCTCATTTGGTCATTTAATAACTACTGACATAAACACTTCATATCAGCATTTATATGAACATCCTCAAACACTTCAAAATGTGGGCATCTTCAATGACTACCTAATTAGCATATGTTCAGACAGTCAGTCGTCATTAGCTGTAACATGCAATATTTGCATACTGCCATCTGTATTCATAGTGATTTTCAGTCACTTAAATTTAACTACATTTTCAAAAATTGCTAATGTGCATGCTTAACTTTTTGAAGCCAGTGTATATATTTAGCTGCAGAATGTAATTTATTTTTTATTCTTTAATTTAATTTAAAAATGGAATTCATTATTTAACCCATTGTGGCACCTAAAAATTTTCTTCTGTACACACAGAAAAATTGAATGAGAAAGGATTTATAAGTTACTCTGAAACTTTTTTATTTATAGTAGATGGCAGCCCAACACAAACCATCCATATATTTTAGCCATGTTTAGTTTTTAAAGACACTCATTTTTCAAAGAAGTCTTCTAAATGATTTTAGGATATAAAAGGAATTGTTTGAAAATTAATTTTTATGTTATTTTCTTGGCTGTATGCTAATCTCCTTATTCTATATTGGTTTTAAATTTTTATCTTGAAATCTTGCTTAATATCGAACGACAAAAATCAGGTGTTCCCAGAGTGGGCTCACTGAGAGGCAACTGTATCTTTATTTCTTTGCAGCTCATCGATCAGTTCATTAACAATAGAAAGGTGGGTCCACATCTGTGTTTCATTTTTTTTTTTTTTTTTTTTGTTTTCTTTTTACTGAGGTAAGGTTTTGTTATCAACTAAGAAATTGTTCGGGTCCTTTTCTGAAGGTCAGGTGTAATTTTATCAGTTAGCTGTTTGGTTTTTCACTAGAACAGTTAGTTCTCTTTGGCTTTCGTTCAAGGAAGTTTTGTTAGCGCTACGTTTAATAGTTTTGAGTAGTAGATGTTTATTTAATTTTGTTTTAGAGATTATAATTTCAAGATGTAGATATAATATTAGTTTATTTTTTCAGATTTTTAATTATTTTCCAAATGGATCAGAGAGGGCTGAAGCACTCAAATTGCTTCTTGAATTGCTTTCAGATAGTGAGTCTGATACGGATACCGGTACATGTGCAAAAAATGCAATATTGGGTTGTGCTCTTTTAAAGGTGGTGTCACTTTCTCTTAAAAGTACCACCACGAAAAAAATAGACGAAAGTGTAAATATGAAATTTAAATAATGTAAATATAATATACTCAAGTTACTTTTTTCCCATTCATATGCGTGTAATCATCATATAACCAAGAAGAGCTTTTATAGAGGCTTGTAGAGTAGCAGGCCTTCCCATGGCACACCCTGGGTAATGCTAAATCTGCTACAGTATTCAGAATCTAGTGTTTTTTAATTGTAGGCAAAATCCCCTGCTCTTTTACGCCCTTCCCAGCAATGCTTGTTTCAGCATTCTTTTCGAAGCTCTATTCATTCAGTGGCCCTCTTTAGGCACACCCACAGTATTAAAACGATAACAAAATTTTATCTGTATACTACTCTAGGCTTGATTAAACTATCTACCTTTTTTTTGGGGGGGGGTCGAAATTCCAATTTTAAAAGGTAGCATGAGGGAAAGGGTTAAAATCTTTTTCCTATCAGTTTATGCATTGTTTATTAGAATTTCTATAAAACTACATATTTACTACTGTGTGTGGCAAGTACACTAATTTTTGATGTATAATTTATTTATTTTGAAGGACTTACATGGCTGAGCAGTTGTCTGATGTGCAAATTGATGTTGATACTGTGGATGAGGAAAATAATGCCCGTAAATTCTGGGATCAACCAACAATTTCTAGAAGTCCATCATCATCTTCAGCATTTTCTCTAGGAAAGTGGTATGTAGTTTTTTCCTATGCATATATCTGGTTTGGCTTCTTTGAGTATGGCATAGCACACAAGGACTGTCTTCCTAAAGAAAGGGATACATTTATAGAAAATTTTCTGACTAAAATGGCTTCTATCAATGTTATAGATGTTGAAAACCATGAAAATGTCGTGCAGCCAGCCTCTTTGCAGAGAATTGAACAACCAGTGTGCTCAGCGAATTTGTATTCAGCTTCTGGTTGGCTTATTATTTGTGTCGACATTCATTTTTCTTTTCTTTCTCTTGATTCCAATGGCATCTAAAATCTTTTTTCCCAATGGCTAAATACTTGCTAACATTCATGGGGAATTATGACCAAATCCATTGGTCATTTAATTGTTTCTTCTTAGTGTGTAGTGTTGAAGATTACCCTTTTTATTGATATTTTTGTCAAAGGAAAATTGCAAATGGCTCATTTTTAATTTAAAAATTCTTCTACATTAACCTGTTAGGTCTAAGAGGATCAGTATAATGACTTTTGTGCTTATATATAGTTCGACCGTCTCAAACGCAACCTTGGTTGGCATTCTGCGAAAACCCATAGACTCATTCAAAATTGGCGTTAGTACATTCTGCGACGTGAAAAGTCACATGAAGACCTCCGGCAAGAAAGAATTTGCATGCTCAAGGGAAAGAAAGTCCCCATCTTTCCACTCTATTTTGAGAATAATTCAATCCAAATGGCACATACATGTTTGCGTTCATGGTCGCAAATGAGGCGGTCGGGTGAATAAAGATTCAATGTGCCAAAACTCATACAGTATGAAAGAGTCAGAATTTTCAAGATACTTATTAAGAATTCACCTTACTTTACAGAACAGTTGCAAGATGGAAAAAATAAAATCTTCAAGAAATGCCAGTTGAATAAGCTGCATTATGATAAGTCATCATGGAGATGTAAACTAGAATTCCTTCATTAGAATAGGCCCACCAGCGGCCGAGTGGTAAAGTCGAACTCTGGTAAAAAGTAAAATTTCAAAAACAAAGTCTCTGAACTCTGGTAGTTCAGTCCTAGGTTCGAATCCCGTGAACAGGCTGGCTGCATGGGCGTTTTCATGGTTTTCCCCATGTGTAACGTGTATATGAGTCAGGTCCCCCTTAGAAAGTCCTCCACAAAGGCATCCCTCCCCTTAGGAAAATAGCCCTAGTGTGCTTTGCCGCAATTAAATAAACCAAACCAAACCTTCATTAGAATCCTTTTTGAAAGAACAAAACATGTTTGTCGTAATTTATAAAGTTCTTTAACCCCTTCGCGCCGACTGTCACGTATACGTGCCAGCAGTGAACACACTTATCTACCGGCTGACACGCAGGCGTGCCAGAGCATTGTTGCATTTTCTACCTACTGTCACATATTTTGTGCCAGTACCTTGGAACGTTTTTCAAACTATAATTTCTGCCACAAGATGGCACTGTATGTCCATATGGTTTCAGATACGTGTACATTAGACTTTCTACTCAAAATGAGAGAAGCATGACTCACATACACGTGTTTTTGATTATATAAACAAACAGGGAACTAAATGTTTCCGAATGGCGTGATTTATGACGTCTCTTTAAATCGCACTTTATTTGCACGTGGTAGTTGTTTATTGTAAGTAGAAGTTTTATATGCACTAAAGCGTTGAGTATTTCGGTTTACAGTTCAGTTTTTAGAAAATAATTAGATCTTGTTAGACGTGAATTCTTTCTGTTTTTTCTGTTTTTACCGTTTCAATGTCGAAGCGTCGAAAATGTTTAACAGAGCATGAAATAGCAGAAATGATGTAAAATATTTCAGATATTGATTCTGAAATTCTGATATTGATTCTGAAAGATTAACTGAAAGACATTTTCCAAAACTTTGTTCAGAAGAGACTGATAAGAAAATGAGACGACGATGCTTTGTTTGTTCACATTCCCGGAAAAATCCTCCAAAACGGCAAATGGGTTATTACGAGTTCAAGGAATGTAACATAGGACTGTGTATAGATCCCTGTTTTAAAATTTTTCATGCGAAAAGAGAATTTTAAGTATATATATTAGTTTTCAGATGTATAATGTTAAAAGTCATAAAATGGAGTAACTAAAATAAAATGTGTAAAATATACATTTAAACAAGAAATAAGGTAATTAAAGTATATATAAAAATATCTATAAAGCATAAGCCCTTTAAATACTCTATAGAGCATTATTAAACAATGCGTTGATACTTCGGAAATTTCATGGATTTAGGCTTAGTAGCAAAAAAGCCCCCGGCCCTGGAGAGACGCTCGCGGAAGACACTGCCGGCCTCCGCGATAAGCGCGCGTTTTCGCTACCTGGCTCGAAGGGGTTAATATTTGAGTATGATTTTGGTAATTTTCCAAAAAGAGGAAATAAATTTAAAAGTATCTGGGAAGTAAATTAACATCCTGTTTGGATTTCTTAAGAACTAAAATAAAACTAAAGCATTCAAATTATCAGAATATTGTGTTACTTAATTGTATTAAGCATAATATCTCATATGACAGATTAAAAAAAGCAGCTGTAAATTTTTAAAAAATATATAATTTTGGAAGAATTGCTCATATTATAATTTAAAATTTTAATGGCTGCAACAATGAAAAATGTTCAGACTACCTCTTTTTTTAAAGAATAAGCTAGCTGCCTTTTAAATAGACTTTAATTTTACTCTGTGCTATGTAGGATGAAAAGCATGCATTCAAAAACAAATTTTTATAATAAGAATACTGAATTTACATTGTTATAAATATAGTACAAGAAATTCCAAGTTTATCAAAAAAGAGAAATGGCGTGCCAGAAAATAGATTTTGTAAAATTCATTCGAGTGACTTTACGAGTATTTACTAAAATTAGACTGCTGTAACCAATCCTTTAACATAAACTGTTGGACTAACTGTGACAACAAGGATGCCCTCTGGTGAGAAGCCAGAGAAGTACTTCAGTAAAAGCCAAGGCTCCCACTTGATAGGTTGTACCAGACTGTTGCTCTGTAAGTTTTCTTAAAGTTAAATGTAATGTCCGTGTGTAACTTAAACCTGTTAATAAACATTTGTTGCACTATACTGGACTGTTCTATGACCCTATCTAAAATGACCCCTTTACACTGCTTATTTTTAGAAAATGCAAGCACTGAAAATTTATTGTATCAAATACATAACTTAAAATGTTACTGACTTATATCCTGATATAATTACAACGATTTATGTCTTTTTTGTTTTAGCTCCTAGAAAGGAAGAAAAATCATGAAACAGATCCAGCCCATTTTTGGGAGAAAAAGTGGTTGTAAGTCTACCATTACCTTCTATACTCCAAATAAACAATTATAGTAGCAAGCAGGTAGTCATTAGCTAATTTTTTGGAGTTTGTGAGGTACTGTCTGTGTTATCTATATTTCTGTCTGCTTTTTCAATGGAGGCTGTTTCAGATGACATCTGTGTTCGATTCTTGATAAAAGATTTACGCTGGAAATTTTCTTCTGGTGTAAGAGTCTACCATGAATGTAAAGTTTATTTTTTCCATGGACTTAACTGTATTTATTTAAATGTTTCTAATTTCAAGCACAAGAAAGCTTTTAAAATCAAGTCTTTGAGAATTTAAATAGTACTGAAAATTCTTTTACATTCACATTTTTATATACTGAATGTTTATTGAAGTTTAGAATATTTTGCTAATATTTCACAGATCTGTCATTTACTCAATAGCCTGAACTTGCTTTGCATCAACTCAAAAAGTGGTAGAAATCGAGGAATTTGTACCATACATTATCCAAACAACGTGCATTCGTATACAGCTAACTTTTTAACTGTAACTATTCGTATACAGCTAACTTTACCAGAAGGATCTAATACTTTATTCTTTTCGTACCATACCTGCGAACGAACATAGTTAGTCTGATCCAGTAGAAATTTTACTTTGTTAGGGCAACACATCTTTCATGTGTTTAGTAATAAAATTGGAATAATCTTTTGCCTACATATAATGCCTTTTCCAGTAGTCTGAAGTCAGTGTTTGATACCTGATAGAACGCCTGTTGCAAACTCATGTATGTGGATGTATATCGCATTTTTGTGGAGGAGAGAAGCACTGTAAACTTGTGATTACACTGCAACCTTAATTCTTTAGAGTTATGATTTAATTAGCTTTTAGCTGTTACATCACTGTGCATCTCCTATCAAGCTTATTTCATCTATTATATTCATGGATTCTATCCTTATACATCTTTGCTGTTCATGCATATAGATGTCAATCTGATGTTATAAAACTTTTGCAGCAATTAGACCATCAAATTTTCACAAGTATTTTAAAATGCAGCTGACATGTCCTTTTGCCACGTGCATTGCTTTGGAAATGAGTTCTGGATGTTGATCAGAGACTTGACAGCTGAACCTATTGTATTGTAAATGTAGGCTGCATTGTTATGTAAGAGATCTGCAAACACAACTGCATTGCATCACACTGCAACAGCATATTTTTAGTCATGCTTTGATGGTTTTCAGCAGTTGTATCATTCTGCATTTCCTCTTATTCTGAGACCTTCTACCACCTAATACATTTCTATATATTAGGTGCAATTTGACAACTTTCATTGCCTATTTAAAGCTTGATCTACTGTATCCTGTTAACTCAATGCATATTTCTTCCACAGTTTTAATGGGATTTTCAAGTTGGCCTGCTATGGTTCGTGTGAAAACCACAGGTGAAAATGTCTTCCTCTTGATTTCAATACAAATCCCACTCTTTCTCTGTGCAGGGTAAAATTGTCTTAGTGTTAATTATTTTGATGATAGAGGGCTCTACAGTGTTCATTTTATTTAAAAACTTTGAATTTGTTCATCAAAACATTCCAGTATTATAGCATGGGTTTTATTCACCTTGAAGAAGGCATTTTGTGAGCCATATATCATGAAATCCTATAAAAAAGGAACCTGGAAGATAGTGTGCCATGTGATGCTTCCGGGGAAAAAAAAAAAAAAAAAAAAAGACAGAAAAAATACATAAACAGACTTGCATTTGTTGTGAAGAGTGTCAGGCTGGATTATGTTTATCACATATGAAAAAAAAAAACTTTCCAAAATAATAATAATAAAAAAATTAATAGTTCTAGTTTTAGTTCTAAGATCAGTGTAAACAAACTGTAATATTTTATAAATAACAGAAACTTTTTATCATTTTATATATTTCTCTTTTTATATGTATGCTGTTTAATATAAACCAAGAGTAGTTTTTGATTTTTACAAATTTTATATTTTCTGTTTTATTACAAAATTTCTGTTAAAAATGTTTGCAGGAAATTGCTTAAAAGTTAAAGTAATCTAAAATTGGAAATATAATAGTCATTTAGCTTGCAAATTGTACCTGTTGAAATCACGTGTCATATGTAATTAAAAACCATAAAAAGCAGTTAAAAGTCTTGTATTATTTAAAAACGGTAAAAAAATAAATAAATAAAAAAACTCTTATAAAAATTTTTAAAAATTATCAACTTGCATTAAAAAAAATCCCATATTTCAGAATTGGAAAGTATCAAAATTAAACCAGCCGGTACATGGAGGATTAACTGTTGTACACTTTGTGGATTTGAGGTCCATATTGCACTAGTTTTTAATAAAGTTTTTTTGAAAGTGTGATAAATCTGTACTATTCTCCATTATTATAACTCATTGTCGTTTCTCCATTTTGGATTTTCATTGAAAGGGAAAGACAACATGTAAAATGTAAAATTAGGGGGGGGGAACTTACATTAGTATGGATGTTAAGCTAAAACTAGCATTAATTTAAATCGCAAAATTCTGAGGATTTCTTTTTCTCCTGAAGAACATTCACCACTTCAACCTCAAAATAGACGGTTCTTTTTATGTGTTGATTGTATTAGTGATTATCAACTTTGCCCTCAAATTTGGTAGTCTGTGGCAGTTTAAGATTGTTTGCATGTTGCCTAATCTTACATCCAGATTGGATATCAGTGAATGCATGAAATCAGACTCGGTGCTAGATATTTTATATCAGCAGGGCTGGACATACCTTTTTAGTAATAGCAAAATTTTTGGTATAATTTTAGTGCACACTTCTATAAACACACAGTATATGAAATGTTTATTTCCTTTTCTTGGTTCAGGAGTTTACTGAACAAATTGCTGACTTTCTATTATTTAAGTTATTGATTAAATTGTATAGTAGTTAAAAATTATTTTGGACCATTTTGTGTAATGTCTCTGAGGATGTATAATGTTGCTAAAAATATTTTGTATTCAATTTTCCATTGTATATTATGTAATATTGCTTTATCTTTAATAAAATATATACTTATACATTCTTGGAATTTGTTCTTTTTATGTTTTTCCTTTTAAGCATGAAAATTTGATATTTTGAAGTTATCTTTTCAAAATAAAAATGTTTTGAATTATTGCAAGATTTTTAGAAATTCATTTAAATGTGCTATTCTCTTTTCGATTAAAATCATTAAATCACTGTCTATTAAGTTTAAAGACTCCTCAACCATCTTAATGTTAGAGATGATTTATGTACTGAAGAGCTGAAAATCTGGCATAGATGAGTGTGATATCATCCCTTTCTTCATCCACCGCCTCATAGAGAAATAACTCCACCTTCTTCTATTTTTAAACATTTATTTCACAAACACAAAACTAATACTAAACTACAATACTAATAACTGAAATATATAAAGTAATAAAAGTGAATTTCGGTTTCATTAATGGCTCCCACGAGCCTTCCGTATGACCTCTTTTTCGGTCTTCCTCTTGAAAAACTAAACTTTTGGCGCCTCTCCAGACTGAGAGTTAGCGCCCTCTATACATCTTGTTGGTTGGCGTCAACCCCCCATCCAAGATTGAAATAGGGTGAAAGCCTATTGAAATATGACAAATTATGGTGACGTCAAACAAAAGAGTTACTTACCTACTAAAGTCTACAAATTAATCGATACTGAAGTTGAAAGATATATAACACAATACTTATACAGGTTAGTTCTACACCTACTACAAGACTTCTTCTAAAACTCTAATATATAAATGATTGAAAATTAGTATTCAAACAATTCTAATGCAATAGAATACTTAAAGCGTCTATGATATACTTAAAAGTCTCTAGGAGAGAAGCTGAAAAATAAACACACACATAAAAAATATATACTTATACAAAAAAAATAATAATATTAAGAGTTCATAAATGTCTATGAAAGTTCTTTCTTTCACACAAGTCACTCAATAGTCTCTAGTCTGGACAACGCATCAGCATTGCTTAACTTAGCACCTGGGCAATGTAAAATTGTAGTATCACACTTTTGTAATGCTAAAGCCCATCTCTGTAACTTAAGAAGATTGTGGTGCGTTCTTTGTGATGAAAGTTAACGGATTGTGATAGTTATCAGTTCCACAGGTGATCCAAAAATCCAAGTTTCAAACTTTTTCAAGCTCCAAATAACAGCATAAGCTTCCCTCTCGATAGTTGGCCATGCTTGTTGTGTTTTGGTAAGTTTCTGGCTGGCGTAACTAATCGGGTACAACTTTCCGTTTTTCCTTTGAGATAAGCAGGCTCCAACACCTGTTGAAGATGCATCACATTGAATTATAAAGGTAACCCTGGAACAGGGGTATAAAGACTAGGTGCTTCCATTAGGCATTTCTTTAATTCAATGAATGCTTCGTCGTGTTTTCTGTCCAGCACAGCTCTTCGGACTTTCCTTTTGATGAGCTCGGTTAACGGATAAGCTGTTCGGCGTAATGTGGAATGTAGTCTCTGTAATAATTACATAGGCCTAGAATGCTTTTCAATTGTTTTTTGTTTGAGGTCTAGCTAATTTCTGGATAGCCTCCACTTTCTCTGGATCTGTACGATGACTGCCGGAAACCGATGATATGTCCTAGATACTTAATATGAGTTTTAGCGAAGGAACATTTCTTGAGATTACGGAAAACTGTAGTTCTGACAGTTTGAAAAAATGGTGTCAAGATGTACTAAATGTTCATTCCAATTATTTGAATAAACAGCTATGTCATCGACGTAGGCTCGAGCAAATCTTGTATTTAGCAAGGCCTGGTTCATCACTCTCTGAAATGTTGCAGTGGCGTTGCGTAGCCCGAAAGGCATGACTTTAAATTGATACTGAGCTTGATGTGTCTTGAAACATGCTAATTCTTGACTCTCTCTTTCTAATGGTATGCCCAGTAGCCTTTGAGTAAATCAATGCTGGATATCACTTTGGCTTTTCCAATGTAGAATAAGAGCTCTTTAGGATTTTCCATAGGGAAGTCATCTGGTTTTCGTTACTGCATTAAGGATCTAAAGTCAACGCAAGCGAATATTACAGTCTTTCTTCATAACGCATACATAGGGTACGAAATTTCAGCATGGTTTCTTCAATCAATCCCATTGATAACATTTCTTCGATTTGTTTATCTACTGAGGCTTCAATGCTTTGCTTCTGGAATTCGATAAACAATATGGCTCTTCCTTTCATTGTCATTAATCTTATTTTATGTTCTCCTACTTTGGCAATTTGTACCTTATTTATAAATAAGTTTTCATATTTTCTTAACAAGTTCATCATTTCATTCCTTTTATCATCATCTAAAGGGCTTAAATCTACTTCGCTAAGATGAAAATGATCGGACTTGTCACTCACACTGGGTGTGGGATGGACTTCTCCTAGTTCTTCTTCGTTCTCAAATATTACACCTACAGCCTGTACTTTTGGATTAAATTTTTGAATTTTATTTACGTGTACTCTTCTTATTGTACCATCTGTCAGTCTGACTCTGTAAGAATCTGGATTACAACAAGATACTATTTCTGCCGGTCCTATCCATCTGGCATATAATTTATTACTGGAATCTGGAATCAGCAGGTACACTTGATCTCCAGGGTTGAATTCTTTATATATAACCCTTCGATTAGCATATCTTGCATATGCACCTTGTTTCAATTCTGCAGTTATAGATGCTTGCTCTGCTGCTATTTCTAAATTCATCTTTAGCTCCTGTAGATAATCAACAGCACTTTTACCCAATTTTATTGGTAATGGAATTTCTCCTGACCATGACGATTTTAATACTGACAACAGACCTCTGGCCTCTCTTCCATACATTAATTTAAATGGGGTAGTACAATTTGGAATTTCGCGGTAAGCGAATAACAGGTATGGTATATGTTTGTCCCAATTTTTAGAGTCGTTTCTAATAATATGATGAAGCATACGTTTTAGAACTTGGTTATACAGTTCAACTAATTCCGAACTTTGTGGATGTCCTGGTGTTGCAAATCTAGGACTTGCTCCTAATCTGGCATGGAATTCTTGTGTTAATTCTGCAACAAAATTGGTACCTTGATCGCTAGCTATTACCCGAGGTATGCCCGTTCTCATAAAGATTTCTAATAATGCTCACATGTGATTTGGCGGTTTTTTTGTAATAGTTCTCAAAGGGGCAGCTTCTGGCCACCTAGAAGTTGGTCGACTAAACATAGTACATTTGTGTTTTACCTGCTGATGGAGGTTCAAGTGGACCGATTATATCTACATTCACTGTTGTCAAATGGAAATTCAGGCCTCTGAACTGGAACTATGGGTATACGATCGTTAGTTCTTTCTTACTTGTAATTGACATTCCTTACAAGTTTTACAATATTCTTCAATATCTCGTGACATGTTTGGCCAATAAAATGAATAAAACGAATCCTTTTTTTGTTTTTCTATCCTAAATGATTTGCAAAAATAGATTCGTGAGCTAATTAAAATTTTTCCCTTCTAACTTTAGGTAATACCAATTGACTAACTTGTACTCCGGAAGGAAATTCTTTCAGTATGATAAATCAAGTCATCCATTTAAAAAATATTATTTTATTACTTTGGCGCGTTTTTATAGATACTGCGTAATGTCTCACATTCCCTTTGCTGTTTGTTTAAAAATACTGGCATCTGAATGGACCCACCCCACTTTCGTTTTCGCCCCGGAATGCAACATGACTAAATCTGCTCTCCTCCTGTCATAAATAAATCAGCGCGGCTTTCGCCTTCGAATTGTTTTGACTGATGACTCCTCGTTTCCGGTATCTGCGATGGAAGACACTGTGGTCGCAATCACGATTCGCGCTAAGCAGATGAGATTCAGAGGTCAATAAATCATAAACCATTTGGAGTAATTACGCAGGGAATATGAAGTTTTTCTGTTAAAGCTACTAATACTTCGACAGGTTTCAATAAATTAGGATTATCAGTATTTTTGATGGATAGAGGAATTCTAGCCACTTTAGCTGATATGGTTTCTCCGAATGCAGAAATTAGGTCAATATTACAGTTGTTGTTCTCAATAGAGAAATTTGATATGTGTTTCGGATTTATAACAGAAATTTCAGCACCTGAATCAATTATGGCTTGGATTTCGTTACCTGCAACGCAAATATTTACTTTTTGCAATGGTTGCGTAAAACTTTCATTTGACAAGCATGAAGATTTTTGCTATTACTTTATCACTAGTATTTTTCTCTGGTGTTTTTTTTTAGAGGAGGGTTTTGTGTTACTGATTGTTCTTTGTGGACAAGATTTAGCGAGATGCGTTAATTTTCCACATATGTAATAGTCTTTGGGTGGATATTTATTTTTATTTATGTTGCTTCTCATATGAGGCGGAATATATTTCGATTCTCTTGAAGAGTGGGACGACTTAGCTATGTTTTCGTTAGTGTTAAAAGTGGTTTCGTTTAACGATTTGCCTTTGTTTACAAAATATAGGTCAACTTCTTTAGCTAAATCCTTAAGGTTTTAACCAATTTTCTCCTGTTTTAATATTAATGTAAGTTGCCGTTTCTTTATCTAACGTTTGGAAAAGTTTGTCGGAAATCATTAGTTGACAAAGTGTATCAAAATCATTAACTTCGCGTAACTGACAGTAATACTGGAAATTTGCAGACAGTCTAGAAGCGAACTGAACACGTGACTCTTTAGGATCGCGTCGTGCTCTTCGGAAATTCATTAAACATTCATAAGCAGTTGGCTGATATTCTTTTAATACTAGTTTTTTAATGGTTTCATAACATTTTAGTTCTTCATCATTAGTGTAAAATAATATTAGTTGCCTTATCCCCTAAAATGTTAATCAAAATTTCAGATTTGAGCTCCTGTGGTACATTTTTAGTTATGAAAATGCTCTCTCTAATGTTTGAAAAAACAAAATTGAAATTTTCCGATCTTCCCGGAACAGGCAATAGTTAACGTCTTAACACTCTTTAATCAAATTTTCCTAAATAATTTCCCCCGAACCTGTAATCATGTCTTTATCTGTGCGAGAGCCATCTT